CTCTCCCCCCTCTCCCCCTCCTCTCCCACTTCTCTCCCCCTCCTCTCCTCCCTCTCCCACTTAAGCCACAGCTCCACTTCTGATTGTCGGTAGTCATCTGGGGACAGGAGTTTCAGGACGTTCTGCCAGAACCTCTGGTCTTCAGATCTGAGCCTCCGGAGTTCCCAGGATCGTGGGAGTGAGGACTGTCGCCTGGCCCTAAAGGGGGCTCTTCACGGAGGAGGGAGTCTGGGATCCGCCGCGGGATCGACGCCGGCCCGAAAGGCGCAGAGTGTCCTGGAACCTCATCCCCGGGATTCAGCCCTTTCTTCTAACTTAATTCTGGCCCCAACTCCCTGCTCCTGAGGCGAGGCTCCGGGAGTCACAGTGCGCGCTTCCGGCTGCGCGGTCTTCCGCCGGCTCCGCACGCCCGCGGCTCCGCACGCCCGCGGCTCCGCACGCCCGCGGCTCCGCACGCCCGCGGCTCCGCACGCCCGCGGCTCCGCACGCCCGCGGCTCCGCACGCCCGCGGCTCCGCAGCGCGCGCTCCCGCCGGCTCCTGCTCCGCCTGCTCCGCAGCGCGCGCTCCCGCCGGCTCCTGCTCCGCCTGCTCCGCAGCGCGCGCTCCCGCCGGCTCCTGCTCCGCCTGCTCCGCAGCGTGCGCGCTTCCGGCTGCGCGCTCTTCCGGAGGCGGAGGCGCGCTCACCTTACGACGAACACCCCACGACCCACACGCCGCGCCCGCGAAACCCGAGTCGCCCTGGGCGGACACCTGCGCGAGAGGGAGGAGGCGGGGCCTTCCGGGATTGGTGGAGACGTACAGCATCACGAGGCTCCGCCCCTCGTCTCATCGGATGTGGTTTTAGCAGGCACGGCTCAGAGTGGATGACATTAAGAGAGGAGGGACCTTCCTGGTCTCTGATTGGTGGGAATGCGAGTGGGAATGGCGGGGAGGTAGGGCCTAGGACTTGGGGTTTGTGACAGCTGAGTCCAGCGCCCGGGGAAACTTCCCAGCCTTGAAGCAGGCGAAGATGCGAAAGGTGGTTTTGATCACGGGCGCGAGCAGGTGAGGACTCCAGATGGCAGAGGCTGAGTTTAAGAGCCTACCCGACTCTGCCCCGCCTGACTCGGGGGGACTCGGGTCCAGATCCTCTATTCGCTGCGTCTCTTGTTCGTGTGTGTATGTGTGTGTGTGTGTGCGCATGTGTGTGTGTGCATGTGTGTGTGTGTGCATGTGTGTGTGTGTCTGTGTCTGTGTGTCTGTGTGTGTGCATGTGTGCCCTGTTCTTCGGGTGGGTCTAATGCTTTCTATGTTTCAGGTGTGTAAAGAAGGATTGATTGTTTCTTTCACACTTATTGTGATTTGTGCAATTGTGTACATGTCTGCCATACTCTTATTGAGAGGGGGAACAAATTCTAGACTTTCAGAAGATTCTGTTTGACTGTATTCAGCTTAAGTCTTGGAAGAGGACTTAGAACCCAGCTTTTCACTGCAATCATTCCAGCTGGTCTGACTGCTCTCTCCATCTACTGGGCATTTTTATAATATCCTTTTGAAATTTATTTCAAGTCTTCCAGAAGTGTATGACTTCCTGTTTCGCTTTTCTGGCTCCCACCTATTATTATTCTTATCTGCTGCTTGGTCATGCTGAGGTCATCCTCTTTCCATCGGTTATTCAAAATAGTAGTTGAGGAGATTTGACCTGCCACATTCCTAATCTGTCTTCTGAGACCCTCATCCATCCCTGCATTCCTGGTGTTCTTTGTAATGGGATGGTACCTATAGATGGAGGAGCCCTCACCCATGAGGAACATAGACAGCAAAGAAAACATTCATACAGATACAGCTAACATGATGTTCTTTTATTTTTAAACACTTTCTGGTGCTATATTGACTCACTTTTATGAAAACATAGTAAGTATAAATAAAATACTTACACAGTATAAATTGAACTTATTTTGGAATGAGAGAAACAAACTGGGTTATCATCCTGTGCAGTGAGTATTAGATTGGGGAATGCCTCATTTTGAATGTTTGAATATTTTCTGTGTGCCTGGTGTCCACTGAAACTCAAATTGACCAGAGAAAAATAACTTCATTTGGCATCTCAATGAACCACATCCTGGATCCACATTGTCTTCCCAGTGGCATTGGCCTAGCTCTTTGCAAGAGACTGCTGGCTGAAGATGATGCGCTTCACCTATGTCTGGCATGCAGGAACATGGGCAAGGCAGAAGCCGTCTGTGAAGCTCTGTTGGCCTCTTACCCCACTGCTGAAGTCAGCACTGTACAGGTAGATGTTAGCAATTTGAAGTCAGTGATCTGGGCTGCCAAAGAATTAAAGCAAAGGTATGTCTTGTTGACAGATTTTTTTTCTCTGTAAATATGTAGTATACCATTTAGTAAAATAAGGCAGGATAAGAAAGCCTGAATAAGGAACATGTACAATATAAGATGTTATTCTAAGCTGGACACTGATGGCTCATGTCTGTAATCCTAGCTACTCAGGAGGCTAAGATCTGAGGCTTGTAGTTTGACGCTAGACCTGGTTGAAAAGTCTCAATTAACCAGCAAAAAAGTGCAAAGTGGAGCTGTGCCAGTACGTCTTGTTCTAGCAGACAGGTGAAAGTTGAAAGTGATTTCAGTTTCATCCAGAGTAAAGCAACTGTGTCAATCATTTCATTTTTAAGTATATAGTTAAGTATATTCTTTTATTGAAGCCAGAACTTAATTTGGAGCTTTGATGCACTATTTATTCCTTGCTAAGTATTTCATCATCATGCCTAGCAAAACAGGTGGCAATCCATACAGGAAAGTTGGTGAACCAGATAATGGAGCAAGCAACCAATAGTAGGTGGAAACATTGTCTTTGTGACACTTGAAGTGATGACCCAGTGGTACCACAGCATTTTAAATATTCAGCTTAGTAATCAGCCCCATTTGGTTGTTAATAATTTGTAAGATGATCAAAAAATAATTCTGTGTCATCCATACTGCCAACTATATAATATATATTTCAAGGTCAACTTTTAGTATCTATGGCCTTGTCGTGGGTTCTACAGAGGACACTGTGTGGTGCCTAGAATTCTGGGATGTGTTCTGAATGTGCATGGTGTCTGTGAGCATCATGGAGTCAGGTTCTACTTATCTTACTAGTTTAAAAGGGACCTACTTAGATAAAGGCTCATGTAGGTTTAACAATGTAAAGATCCCATAGCAGTCTTCTTCAAGAGCCTACTGAGAATACCTTACCCCCTTCAGTGTTATAATTTCATTGCTTTACAGAGAACTTTTATCATTTCATGATATATAGCCCCAGTCCATGACACTGAATACTTTCCACATAAGTCTTTGGTTTTGTCAGATGTCTTAGCATTCAGATTCCAGCACTGATAGATTAGGTTAGGTATGCTAAACATTATGTATAATTTACATATCAATTATGGATAATGTGGATTTTTTAAACTAAAAAAGCATTGGTAGCACCATGGTAGAAGAATTTGTTTATAGGGAAGATTGGACTTCCAAGTCTATGGGAGTGGCCATGGATTAAAAAAAGATACTAAGATATTTATTGTAGCTAAAGAAAAACTGTTGATTAGGAATGAAGGGCATGTTGCAATTCAGATGTTATTTAGCAAGCAGTGGCCATTGAAATGGGCTCAGAATCTTTTCTGTCCCCAGATTTTTGGCATTCTAGAGAGAGTACACAGTCTTATCTTGGTTATTCTGACTGTCTTATTTTGATGTTTTACTTGCAGGTTTCAAAGATTAGATTATGTATATCTAAATGCTGGGATCATGCCTAATCCACAGCTAAATGTCAAAGCAGTTTTGTCTAGCCTCTTTTCAAGGTAATTTCATTTTCTAGGTGAACTGATTGAAAGGAAGATGCTCAGTTTTCTGCCAAAAAATTTTGCCTTTGGTGGGCTGAGTTGGGGGATGGAAAGTAAGAGGGTGTTGCAAACGATAATGACATAGGAGGGGATCCAACCATGGTGTGAAGGAAGAGCACTCGCTCATCTTCTGTGCCAAATACACAGGATTCCATGGTATTCCATGTCACATGGTCAGATGTTTCAGGATCTCAGTTCTGGATACTTGAATGTGCCTGTTAGCAAAAACATTTCTAACTTAGGCAGAGTTCTCAGACTCTAGAACCCAGGAAGGCTGTTTTGGAGAAGTACCTGTCCGTCAGTGCTCTGTCCACTAGGTTGAGGAAGTGTAGGGAAGTAATGTCTACTGCAAGAGTGTCAACACACATTGCTATAGTGGTTTTCAGACATGTTTACCCAAAAGCCAGAGTAAAAAGTAAGTCTTATTATGCAGCCCGGCATACTTACCCGACATACTTTTCTTGCTACACTGATACTTTGCCACACTGATACTTTGCTTTACTTTTCTTCCATGGAAACACAAAGACCAAGGACCTATGACACACACTTGTAATCCAGCTAACTTGGGAAGTAGAGGTCAGGAAGATCATGGTTTGAGGCCAGACCATGAAAAACTTGTGAGACCCCCCCCCATCTCAATCAATAGCTGAGTGTGATGGTATGTGCATGTCATTTCAGCTAAATGGGAGGCTGAGATAGGGAGGATTATGGATCTAGGCCAGCCCAGACCTATAAAAATTTTTCTGATAACCCATCTCAACAGAAAAAAAACTAGGCATAGTGGTATACACTTGTCATTCCAGCTAAATTGGGAAATGTGTAGATAGGATTGTGGTCAATGCTGACCTTGGCCAAAAGTGAGACCCTATCTCAAAAATAACCAGAGAGATGGGGCTGGGAAGGTGGCTTGCCTTGAGCTGAAGAGCTGAGGGACAGTGCCCAGGCCCAGAGTTCAGGCCCCACAACCGGACCCCCCCAAAAAAAAAGTAGCCAGAGAGAACTGGGCTCTGGTGGCTCCTCCCTGTAATTCTAGTTACTCAAGAAGGAGTCTGAGATCTGAGGATTACAGTTTGAAGCCAGGCAGGAGAGTCTGTTAGATTCATATCGCCAAATAATTACTTAAAAAAAAAAAGCAGGATGTGGAGCTCAAGAGGTAGAGTGCTAGCCTTGAGCAAAAAACCCCTCAGGGATAGCGCCTAGGCCCTTAGTTCAAGCCCTAGGACTAGCATCAAACAATCAACCAGAAAACACACACACTCTCTCTCTCTCTCTCTCTCTCTCTCTCTTTCTCTCTCTCTCAGAGCAAAAAGGGTTAGGGTTGTGAACTCAGAGTGGTAGATTACCTTACTACCTAAGTGTGATGACTTGAGTTCAAACCTTAGTACCACCAAAACCAAAACCAAAACAATATACAAATGTTACGCTAGTTTTGGATTACTAAATTGATCTCATAGCAAACTCCTGTATTTAATAATTCCTAATGAGGAATAACCTTAAAAATTCCAGCAGTTAAATATATTTGGTGCAAGTGAAGATTTTTTTTTTCTTACTGGCATAGCTATCAATTCTTTAAGACAGTGCACTTGTAATCTGAGTTAGAAGCAGGTAAAGAGAGTGTTGGCAACAGGATATTGAGAGACTTGGGTTTCTTTTGGTATTATAAACTGTCAAGTTTGTAAGTTTATCTGAATTGGGGGAGAAGAGAGTGTTTCATATCTTATTGAATACAATCATCTGATCAGAGAGCTTAGTCCTCTTTTATTCCTGTCATTATAGAAGCAGTGAAGATAGTGTGTGCATGTGTTGGTGGGGTGGAATTTGAGCTTGGGTTGCAGAGGAAGTGCCTTCAGTGATCAGTTAGAGATGCTTTGAAAAGTGACCCCTCTGTCTTTTGTTTCAGAAATGTGATTCACGTGTTTTCTACAGCTGAAGGACTGTTGACCCAGCATGACAGAGTCACCGTGGATGGGTTGCAAGAGGTTTTTGAAACCAATGTCTTTGGCCACTTTGTGCTGGTAAAACAACTTTGGGCTTGCTAAACCTATCCTTGGTGCTCTAGTCCTGAGGGTTTGCATGGAGATGTTACAGTAATGTATTGTTCAGTTTCCTCTATGATTCATGCTTTGTATTAGTATGGTCCAGTCCTCAAAGTCAATGACATTGCTGCATTCTTCTTCTTCACTAAACTCCAGACCTTACTCAATTGCTCAATTTTTGCCTCTTGTCCTGTTTTCAGTTCTGGGATTTCATCCAAGACACTACATTACTTTAGTAGTCCAATCTCCCCAGGCCCTTCTAGGTTTTGACAGTTTTATAGATCTTCCTTGTTTCTGAGGACAGTTTTTAGATTGTTGCTCAGGTATTTTGTAGATTGTGCCTCAGGTGGGATTTGCTAAAGTTTGTCTTATTATTACACTGGGGAATCTGTTTCAGGAAGAGGACAATAGAACTGAAGCACCATTGTCATTCAGTATACGCAGTCATTGATACTCACCTTTGTCCCATAGTTTGAGTTAGTGTTTGTTTCTCCCTTGTCATTCAGTATACGCAGTCATTGATACTCACCTTTGTCCCATAGTTTGAGTTAGTGTTTGTTTTCTCCATTGTAATTCAGTATACACAGTCATTGATACTCACCTTTGTCCCATAGTTTGAGGTAGTGTTTGTTTGTCTTCCCCATTGTCATTCAGTATACACAGTCATTGATACTCACCTTCGTCCCATAGTTTGAGGTAGTGTTTGTCTTCTCCATTGTGAAGTCATTCCTTTTCTTTCTCCTTTTCCCTCCTGTACTCTTTGTAAGAAAGTTACAGTGCATAGCCCACACTTAGGGGCTTGTGATACACTTCCTTAAGGGTGATTATCTCTGTAAACTATTTGAAATTTTTCTGCAAGGGAGATTTGTCTCTTCTCCATGTTTTAAATATGTATTCAATCCATTCTGATATTCATATGGGTAATGGATGCATATTTGCTATTTCTGAAGTTGCAAATAATCTGCATTTTTTCATTTGACATTTCTACCTCTTGGACATACCCCATCATTATTGTTTTCTGCTTTTGTTTTGAGCATTTGTCTTGCTTTTAGGCCCTAGATGGTGCTCCAGGCTGATTTTGTATGTTTCCTAAGTTAGTTCTGGAGTTAGTTTCTGTAGGGCGATCCAATTACTGTTACTGGAGAATTGTTACTAGAGATCAAGGTCTAGAATTTGTTATTACTGAAATGTCCATTGATTCTAGACCTTCTGGATGAAGACGATAAGTATATGCAGACTAATCCCCAGGTGTGTGCATATTTATAAGTATTTCACACAAGATGTGAGTTACTCTTGATGTTGCTAACCCTAGTCATTCTAGCCTTCTCCTCTTGCCACACTTGTTTCCTCTCCTTCCATTCACTTACTTATTTCATTTCAGTATATATAGATAATAGTATCAAAATTGTTACCTTATACCCTTTAGTAGATTTTGAACAGTTCTGTATTTTCTTTTCTTGCACTCAGATTCGGGAACTGGAACCTCTCCTGTGTTACAGTGACTGTCCATCTCAGCTCATCTGGACGTCATCACGTAATGCAAAGAAATCAAATTTCAGCCTTGAAGATATCCAGCACAGGAAAGGCCAGGAGCCCTACAGCTCTTCCAAATATGCCACTGACCTTCTGAATGTGGCTCTGAACAGGAACTTCAACCAGAAGGTTCGGCCTGCCTCCATGATAAAGAATTAACAGTGCAGTGTTTTCTGATTTAACTACTGATTTCTTAAAACTAACTATTGTAATGTAGGCTGAGTTGGTGTACATAAAGGCTTTAAGGCACAGATACTTCTTGTCTTTTAGACATATGTGGTTCATTTATCATTCTATAATCTTCAGGAACTCTTCTGTCTGCCAATAGAATAACACCACTGACTAGCAACAGTCACTGTTTAAGTACTTGATATTTCAGATGCTATATTCTCTGTATATTTTATATTTGGTACTTTCTCTGTTGTAACTAGGTGGGTCTGATTGTTCCTATTTTCAGATATAAGTGTGTGTGTGTATGGATGTGTCTACATATATATGTATGTGTGGGTAAGTGTGTTTATCACACGTGAAGGTGCATATTACATGGATAGGCCTTGTGGGTATGTGTCTATGTGTATGAGCAGATATGGGGGATATATGAAGTGTTTGTATACGTGTAGATTTATGAGTGTCTTATTCGTACATTGACTGTTATCATAGCGTGGGTTCAGTGTATTGATCCACTTATGAGCCTTCTGCTGACATTTTTTTCTTTTCTTTTCTTTTTTTTGGGGGGTCCGGTCGTGGGGCCTGAACTCTAGGCCTGGGTGCTGTCCCTCAGCTCTTCAGCTCAAGGCTAGTGCTCTACCACTTGAGCCACAGTGCCACTTCCGGCTTTTTTCTTTTTGCTTATGTGGTACTGAGGAATCGAACCCAGAGCCTCAGGCATGCAAGACAAGCGCTCTACCACTGAGCCACCTTCCCAGTCCTGCTGACATTTTTTTCTTCGGTCAGGTAATGAGTGCATTTCTTTTTGAACAATGGTACTCCTCCTGACATTTCTTAAGATAAATGAAAACTTGCTCATGATTATTCTTTTGTAGTCTGGAAATTTCCTTCTAAAATGTGAGGGTAAGCTTGTCCTTCCATAAAAAGCCCTGGGATTTTTGGGGCTGGGAAGATGGCTCAGTGGTAGAGTGCTTGCCTTATATGCATGAGGCCCTGGGTTCGATTCCTCAGAACCCCATAAGCAGAAAAAGCTGGAAGTGGTGCTGTGGCTCAAGTGGTAGAGTACTAGCTTTGAGCTGAAGAGCTGAGGGACGGCACCCAGGCCCACAGTTCAGGCCCCATGATGGACAAAAAAAAAAAAAAAAAAAGCTCTGGGATTTTTTTAGTTGATGTTGCTCTATCCTAAAATATTGGGGTTGGTTTCCAACACTCTGTGACTATTCTGGACCTAGAGGAAAGAAGAAATGTAGGAAGATCTACATTAGAGGATTTCTGCTGAAGCCTTCTATTGTTGGAATCCTAGTCAGGTTCTGTATTGCTACCCTGGAGATTTTAATCATGCAGCAATGGTCCCCCAAGCAATCCATATGCATTCTCAGGATGAACACAATTTTAATATGAATTACCAATTCATATAAATTCTTGAGATTCCCAAGAATTCTGTTTATTCCCATGTAATAAGCATGTGGAGAAACTACAATCTTGGCTAAGACTATTTATTTATTTTGCTTAATCAACATGTTGAAACTCCTGGATTTTAGTTCAAAGACTAACCATTTAGGGCAAAATAGTTCCTAACTGCTCCTAGAGATTTCTTAGTATAAGATTTTTTTTAAAAGCTATCTTTGGTGCAAGATATATTATTCTCCTGGACAGAACATTTGAGCTATAATGATGAATCTTGTCTCTTGACTTTTGCTCAGATGATTGTTGATTTTCTTGATCCTGACAAAGATAAGCTGTGTCTGGGACTTTCCAGGTTCTGCAGTCCTAATTAATGGAAGGAAACCTTCCATATTTTGTGGGCCAGGTGATTTTTGTCCATCTGTGTTGTACCAGCACTTCCTACTTCCTATTTAAAGGAAAAGAATGAGATTAAAAATAAAGATATAAGTTAAAGTATAAAAAGCAATAGAAAATGGAGCAAAAAGTATACTAACTAAAATAGTAAAAGTTTAGGGCTGACTGCACGTGACCTAGAGCCCTTCTTGTTAACATAAGCTCAGTTAGGTAGGGCTGTCTTCCTAGAACAGAACTTTCTAAAATGATGAATCCAAGATTAAGGATCTGATTTACAGATCTTCTAATAATAGACGTTTGTTCCCTTTCTACACTAGGAAAATCCATCTCAGGAGAGAGGTATGGGTCTTTTGTACCTACAGGGAAACTACATGTACTCTAGGCTTAGCTATCCATATTTACCAGATTGGAAACTTTTTGAATGTGAAGATTGTATTCGGAGTATTTTTATCTTAAGTGCTTATTAGGATTCATAAATTGATCTTCCATTAATCTAACAAGTAAAACCTAGGTATCCGAGTATCACTTCCTCCTTCCCCCAGCTTCGAGATTGGCTGTTCTTTATAAAATAAGTTTCTTTAGAATAGAGACTTTATCTTATTGATTTTTATATCCTCTTCCTGGGTTATCAGCACATGATTTTTTTTAAGCATTCATTTTCTCTATACTGTATAGCTTTTAAAAATATTTTTTATTTTCTGAACTTCAAAAGGTTGTACAAGAGGGTTACAATTTAATATTTCATCTAAGTATCCAATCAGCACATTATTCTTAAGCTAAAATAGTCTACTCTATTTTAAGGATACCTCATAGCATAAATTCTTGGCTTTCTGGCTTATATATGCGTATCTTTTATATTAACTTATATAGTTAAACAGAGATAATACACGTGAAATTAAAATCTTACTATGTCCCCTTCCTGCTCCCAGGGTCTATATTCTAGTGTGGTGTGCCCAGGAACAGTAATGACCAATCTAACTTATGGAATTCTACCCCCCTTTGTGTGGACACTGCTGCTGCCAATAATATGGATGGTGAGTAATGAATACTTTTTTTAATAGTCGAGAAATGATTAAGGAAATCAAACCAGGAGGTGGCAGATTTCGACTTGAACTTTTGGATGTTACTTTATGTAGTCTGTTCCATACTCCCTTGGTGTTAATGTTATTCTAGTACCTAAGTAGCTGCTTCTCTTGAAAATGAGCTTTTAGTCATGCACTACAGATTCCAGGAGTTGCATACTCATTTAATTTTGGGGAAGCTACATTAAGAAATGTTAAGCTGATTTCTTTGAGATTTCAGTATGGTCCTGTTCATTAAATGTTCTCAAGGACAGGATGATTGTACATTGTATGACCTATTGTATTTCATTTGTTTCTTTTGTTGTTTTAAGCATCTCACCAGTTCACTGTTTCTTCAGCACACATTGGAAAATGCTTTTGTTAGGAAATGTATCTCCTATTAAGTGCCAGAAAGAAAGTTTTCTCCATTATGAAAGGCATAGGAAAAATATCAGAAATAAAGATGTTTTATGCTGAAAGTATTTGACTTGTGGGGGTAGAAATGAAGTGAACTTTTTGATACTCAGAAATCCTAGTTTATCATTAGAAATGTGAGTTTTTTTCATTAAGATGTAAGTGGATAGTTCTTTTGTGACTGTTTTAAACTACTCCAAAATGTCTGTTCTTTTCCTCAGCTTCGCTTTTTTGCAAACGCTTTCACTTTGACACCATACAATGGAGCGGAAGCACTGGTAAGTTACTAAAGAGTTTAGAGCTTCTCTAATGATTTAGTGGATATGAACTCTTAAGTTTACTGAAAAGGTAAAAAAACAACAAGCTCTGTGGGTTATTACAGTTCTGTCTGGGACTAAGGTAGATCATCAGCCTAGATGCAAAGATGAGGAATGAGTTTTGAAAGTTTGACATCTACCATGGTATTGGTTACCATGATTATATAAGCAAGATATACCGGCAACTGGGGGACAGACAGCACTGGACGGAGAGACAAAGCAAGATGATGGCAATGAGTGAGTGATTTCCTTTGTAGGAAGAGTGCCTTGTGGGACAAGAGTAGGAGCAACAATCTCTTATTTCATTACATGAAGTTCCCTTATCCTTTATTAGAAAAACTGGATTTCCTTAGGTCACACATAGCAATGGATTGCTTGTATTTCCATATCAATGGCAAACATTACTTATGAATTTTAGTCCCCCTTTCTCCTGCATTAAAGTGATGCTACTGAGTAGTTTCAAGCTGAAAGGGCCAAAGCCTTATAGACAACCTCCAAGAATAGGTCCCAATTGGTATCCAAGATAAAACTCGTCATCTGTCCTTGACAGAGTCTGGTTGAATTGCAGTTGGGTTAAAGTCAGTTCTTTTTGTGTTCCCTCCTTCCTTTGAGCTCCTTCAGGATTTTTTGCTCATCATCCTGGGAACTTGAGGGTCTTATGTTATAATGTCAAGTTTAGTAGATTCTTAAATTTGGACTGAATTTAATTTAACTGAGGAAAATAAGGGATTGGCTTGGAGCTCTTGCTTTGGTAGGTATCACAGAATCAAATGTATTTCCTGTAGGACTGGCTGTAGAAGTTAAGTGCTTTTAGAATATATTTTAATTGCTTCTTAATATAATCCATAGAAGTATTAATTTGTAGTCCTTTAGAGGAGTATTCATTCTGCACATCTGTGGCACTGAAATCTAGTCTGAAGGTCAAGACTGTTCAGGGTCAGTGTGGGGGGGTATTTGGAAGATGAAAATATATCACTAGCATTATGTTCAGAAGAAACAAGAATCCATAAATCAGGTAAGCAGGCATCATGTAAGGAGTAATCAGAAAGGAGAGCTAGTGAGGGGCAGGAGAGACTTTTGCTTACTGAGTGGGATTGATCTGGCCTCGGCAGAGGCTGGATTTGAATGGAGTGGGCAGCGTGACTATCATGTTCAAAAAGAAATCACTGTAACCTGGATGTAATTTCCTAAAATGTAGATGGGTAGGAAGCTCTTACCTTAATACCAATCATCTAGGGGTGGTTGTGGGTGCTGGTAGGTATGGTTGCTGATTTTTAAGCACTCAATATGAGGAAGGTCAGTCTCTTTCAGTCTCTGGAGAGCTTGAACTTGACCATGAGACACCTAAAGCATATTGTTTAAAAGGGAAGGTGCTAGAAGAGTGGAAGAAAATAGAAAGCTTAGAAATGGCCCACACATGTGTATGATGAAGATGACTTTCCAAAATCAGAGAGATGAGTTGTTGAGTAAATGTTTTCAAAAGGTAGATTGGGATCTGTTCTTACGTGAAAAATAATGTGACAGATGAGTTCAGAGATTAAATATAAAAAATATAAAATAACAAGAAGGAAATATGAGGCAGTAACTAGTTTTATTGTAGAAACAGTAAAAAACTGAATATTTCAACTAAAAATTTTAAAATTTGTATGTTCCAAAATCCCTACTCTAAATAAAACTCTCAGACTAACAACTGAGTGCAAAAAAAAAATCTGTCACTCATATTCTAGATAAAAGGCTAAGTGTTTTAATAGGTAAGGAGTTTCAGCAGATTAGAAAAACCTACCTATTGAGGTGATGAGCAAAAGACACAACGTTTCTGAACTGTTGCAATAATATGAAAAGATGCTAAAGCTGACTCAGATGAAGAGAAATGTAAATTAAATGTGTAATTATGCTAAACTCGGTGGCTCCTATCTGTAATTCCAGCTATTTTGGAGGTTAAGATAGAAGGATTGCAGTTGGTGGGACAAGAAAAATAAAAGTTAGTGAGACTTTATCTCAAAGAGCAAATCAGTCATGGAGGTTCATATCTATAATCCCAGTTACATGGGAGGCAGAGGTAAGAGGTCACAATCTGAGGCTGGCCTCTGGCAAAAGCAAGACCTTTTCTGAAAAATAAAGCAAAAGCATTTGAGGATATAGCTCAAGTGGTAGAGTACCTGTCTAGCAAGTATAAAGCTCTAAACTCAAATCCCAGAACTAGCAGAAAAAAAGAGACTTTTTAATTAAAAGTTTTTTTAAAAACTCAGATTAGCAAAGATTAGGAAATTAGACAATGCAATGTATTTGCAAAGGTATGTGGAAATGAGAACTTTTCTAAGTTGTCAGGAGCAAAGTAAGTTACTATAGCTTCATCAAGAGCTCCCTAGCCATGGCTAATCAGAATATTAAGTCCGCATGCTCTTCACCCAGCAGATCCACTTTGGGTATTTGTTTTACAGATACAGTCAACATTTCATGAGTAGAATTTTGTGGAGTAGAATTTGCAACAAACAAAGAACAGAAACAGCCTGAATGTCTTTAGTTAGGAAGATAAGCTTTTGGTAAGCTTTTGGAAAGAATGAAACTGCTCTGCATACATTAATTTGCAAATGTTTCGAAGGCACAGTCACATGAAAAATTCTATGTTATGCTTTCTTTTGACTAAGAGAAAGTGATGAATGCTCTTAAATGAATAGATTTTCTCTGCAAGAATACACAATTTACCAATAAGAGTGGTTGCTTCTAGAAGGGGAACCCGGATGACTGGAAAGTTGGAAAGAGAGGAAAATGTTTTATTTCATGTACATCTTTTGAATGCTGGACAGGCAATTCCCATTATTGCATCAGTGAGTGACTTGTACTTATTGTGGCATGAACTGAGATGGTCCCTACATAAGTAGTGTATATGCCATGAAATGTGTACGTCAATCAAAGGAAGAAACAGCTAAAGTGTGATGATTCTCTTACCTTCCTTCTTTCTCCGGGTTATCATAGTGATTCATGAAAGTATCCTGGTTACCTGAGGATTTTCAGAAGAATATTTAGGACTTATTTGAGGGACCCTGCTAGGTACTGGTTGCTAATATCCCACCAGCCTTACCCCCCTGGAGCAGAAGAAACACATCATTGATACATTCTTCCTTTCCAGGTATGGATGTTCCACCAAAAACCCGAGTCTCTCAATCCTCTGACCAAATACATGAGTGCTACCACAGGTTTTGGAAACAATTATGTCACCATGCAGAAGGTAACGGTGCTCACACTGTTCCACTTGGGTCTTTTACTCTGTTCACAGGCATCGTGATGGCCTATTTTCATTTCTTTTTTTTTTTTTAATCTTTTTTTAAAATTTCAAGGTTGTGTACAGAGGGGTTTCAGTTACATAAGTAAGATAATAATCACATTTCTTGTCAAACTTGTCACCCCTTCCCTTGTTTATCTCCTATTTTCCCTATCCCTCAACCCGCCCAAAGATGTACAGATCATCTCCAGCCTATTGTCACTTGTGAATACTGTTGTTGCATTGGTTTTCCGCTTGTCCTTTGTCTCACCATTCTGTTGTTCCCCTTCCCCTCCCTAATGCAAATAAGCATCTATACAATACCAGGATATAAAATCAAATACAGTGACAACAGGGGATATACCATAGGAGGAAGAACATACAAAAGAAACAAAAAATCACCTAGTATATCAAAAACAACAACAAAGAAAAACCTCTTGTGTCCATGTCTTGGAGTTCGTTTCGCTTAGCATCATCTTATGTGGTCATACTCTGTTCACAGGCATCCCGATGGCTCATCTTCATTTCTTATTGGTTGTTTTTTATTCCTGGCCTCTGAGCTTTCCAAATCTCATTCTCTCACCTGAACTGTCTGCCCCTTCCTGGGTCTGACTGGCTTCTGTCATCCTTCAGATCTCAGCTTACTCCCAGCATTCTGTAACTCTTTAGACTAGATCAGATGCTTCCCTTGTGGGTACATGTCCTATGTAGCAGTCCCCTTTGGGTTCTTTTGTCAGCCTGTCAGCTCTGTGAGGAGAAGGACTGCTCCTCTCCCCTCCCTCTACACTGCCATATGCCTAGGGGCACTCAGTAAACACATTGCTAATTGAGGGAAATATGGAGTCTCATTCGATGTGAAGTTAATTTCCCTTTCAGTATTCAGATTCTGTTTGGGGTAGTTATCAGCTTTATCGATTAATGTTTGATAAGACAGGGGATAGAGTCCAGGGGGAAAAATCATACAAATACTGCATTTTTTAAAGATTCTGTATAGTCTTCTAAAAAGAAATCAAACAGTCTCACATTGGGGCATGAGGAAAATGTAATTCTCAAATATAAGACCTATTTTGTACTTTTATTGTAAGTGGGTTTACTTTGGCCTCACATTTTTCTCTGCATAGTTTGCAAGGAGGCATTAGCAGAAATCAGAATTGGCTTGAGGCAAATAAGACATCCCAGCTAAATGATGATGAGCAGCGGGGGCTGCTACACCAATAGCAGGAGATCTAAGAAGTGTCATATACATTGATTCTGAGACTATTTATTTATTAAAAGTGAACCATCCATGATTTTTGAAATCTGTCCTTTGGGATACTAGTTTCCTGCAAGCATTTGTAAGATGCTCCAGATGAGTAAATTTGAGGAATGATTCATATTATGCTCCCACTTTTCCATAATTGCACAATTCATCAGCTCAGTAAAGGCTTTGAAAAGTTAAGAAATTGAGATTGAGTGTTGTGGGGCATACCTGTCATCCTAGCACTCAGGAGAGCTGAGACAGAAGAATCATGAGTCCAAGGCTAGCATGAGCAAACTAAGTGAGAAGAGAAAAAGACAGACAGAGATTAGGAGTAACTTGTTTAGTACTGATATTCCCAAAATTCTTCTTTGTGAATTTTTTCCTCTCAAGTTGTACCTAACACTTTAACACCCCAAATTGTACATTTTGTAAATAATAAGCTTACTTTTAGGCTCTAAGAGCTTATATGAATGTACTGTCTAGTAACTAAGAAGGACCAATTTATTTGTCAATGGGAGGAAATGATTAATTCTACAAACCACAATATTTCCTTGTCATTCTGTGAAGTTCATTGAAGAAAACATTCTAACCTTTGCTTAGTTTTGAGCAGTTGGATTTCTCCTCTACTAAAAGATAGAATTGAGTTTCAATATGGAAAAATGCTACTGTAATTGAATAGAGATAGCAACTATAAAATATTTTTTAAAAAGCGTCTTTGTGGAAGTGGCGCTATAGCTCAAGCGGTAGAGCGCTCGCCTTGAGCTGAAAAGCTGAGGGACAGTGCTCAGGCCCAGAGTTCAAGCCCCACGACTGACAAGAAAAAAAAACAAAAAACAAGCAAAACACAACAAAAAAACAAAACAAAAAAAGCGTCTTTGTTACCTTTTCAGTTTGTCAAGGAGCCTGTTTTTGAAATTTAGGCTGTGTTGTTGTGGAGAAAAGATCGCAGTGTTTTTTATAGGTATGGAGAGTTTGTTTCTCCTATGAGTTAAAATGAAATTTTCTGCTTGAAACACAAGATTATACAATAATAGTGAATTAAACAAGATAGAATCTTGTTTTCTTGCATGTGAAAGCAGGTATATAGTCTCTGTTCCTTCCTATAGGTATACTGTTGGTTTTGTTGTCTTTGTAGTCATCACTATTTTTGCTTCTTTTCCAGATGGACATAGATGAAGACATGGCACAAATATTTTACCAAAACTTACTGGAACTAGAAAAATGTGTGAAGGACACCTTTAGAAAAGCAGATTGCCAGAGATGAAGCACTGAGCACTTCCAAATGCATTCCGGGGCATGTGGCTCTGCGTGTGGCATTTGTACAACAGGGTGCGATGATCTTTCTCCCTTCCTTCCAGAATTATCTTCAGGACTTGATGTGTGCATGTGTGTTTGTATGTGCACATGAGAGAAAGATCGGGAAAATGCTCCCCAGAATGGTGTTATTCACCCAGGAGAATGTTTGTTTGTATTGTTCTGCCAAGTGGGATGCATATTAGAGTTCATCTTTAGTAATTATGACACAGGCACACCTGAGACCCACTTTTGATCTGCCCTGGCAGGACAGGGGACTGCTCACTCTCTGAGCAGTACTTTCAGCTATATCTCTTTCCTGATGAGCAATATTTTCCCCCATGGTCTTCTGCTTTATTTCCTTTTCCAAGCTGCTCCAAAAAAATCCTTAAGATTGGCAGAAACTAAACAATGGCAACGTGGCCAGTACTCATGTGATTAATCACAGAAAGAAAACTTGTGTCTCTCAATTACTTGAATTATTATTCTTAAGAGTATTTTTTATTGCTGTTGGCTCAGTGTATGCCAACACTGGGCTCAGTTCTCCACATTTTCAGGTTTGTTCACTAGGGATCAACTCATTTTCATGCTCAGGATTTTTATAGCTATCAACTTGTAGCATAAAATTATTCACTCACATGAAGTTTCAACAAAAGTTTCTAAATGAATAACTGTTAGTCATAGATCTGCTGGCATAATGGGCAATATGAGAGTAGAAAAGAAGTGATTAAATTAATTTACATGTGTCAGATAATTAAGCAAAACTAAATCTTAAAAGGGCCACATCCCAGTCTCATTGATCACCTAAACAGTATGTTAAAATGCGTACGTTTTCTTTTTCTATCAATGATATCAACATAACACCTGAAATGTAATAAAGTCTGTTTTTGAATGACTAAATACAAATGAGCAATGTCACATAATTTCCCCCACAAGTTAAGTGGGAAGTGTTTTAACTACAGGTTCTCTAATTCTGTTGAATTTTTTTCTTTATGAAGCTAGACATTCTACAAGTGGAGATGAGGGCTATGTCCGTGGGACCCCTGGGTCTTTTGAGAGGGAAATGGAGCTGAGAGGGGGCCTGGTTTTCGCTCTCCTATTTGCTCCACCCAAGCTCCTCAACCACTGTGATCCCATTCTTCTGCAAAGAAGAATGGTATTTGTCTCTCTGCTTCTCTACTCATGGGTATGGAGAGATAAGATAATGCAATAATGTGCATCCATGAATGAATAGCTTTTGTTCAAAGAATAATGATGATCTTATTTTGCTTAGAGATTAGTAGGACAGGATGTCCTAGTTCAGGTGCTACAGTGTAATAATGAAAGGCACTGAGTGACCACTGATCACCTGACTGAGGCTAAAGTAAGATCTTTAGACAGAAGTTTTAGCCTTTAATCTTAGTGATTTCACCTCTTTAAAAAAAAGCCAACAAAACAAATACGAGAAGGTATACTTGATATACTAGATAGCACAAGTGAGATAAACAAAAGCAATAGTGATAAAAGAAATTTGGAACATTCAGGTAAGTTTTAAATATTTGCTTTGCACAACAATAATAAAAAAGGACAAGTTTCAAGAAAAAGAAGGACAGAAATATGGGAAGTGGGAGAATTGATTAGAATTGAGGCATTCTCAGTGTTCTTCAGAAGGAAGGTACATATTGATTAAACTTAGACATTAACATTCATGATGTAGCTACTAACTGTTTTTTTTGTCGGTCATGGGACTTGAACTCTGGGCTTGAGCACTGTCCCTCAGCTCTTCAGCTCAAGGCTAGGGCTCTACCATTTGAGCTACAGCACCACTTCTGGTTTTCTGGTGGTTTATTGGAGATAAGAGTTTCACGGACTTTCATGCCTGGGCTGGCTTTGAACCATGATTCACAGATCTCAGCCTCCTGAGTAGCTAGGATTACAGGTGTGAGCCACCAGCATCCGGTGCTACTAACTTTTTAATGATGACCTTACAATGCAAAAACAAAACATCTCCTAGATCAGTATAAGTTAAAATAAGAATAAGGAAAATCCCTGCCACCTAAATTAGAATGGAAGGAAGGTGTAGTAGTACATACATATAATCCTAGCATTCAGGAGGCTGAGGCCAAAGGGTCACAAGTTCCAGGCCAGCTTGAACTATATAGTGAGACTTTGTCTCAGAATTAAAAACAAAAAATGAAAAGGAGGAAGAAGATATTGAAGACAAAACATTCCCAAGTTAGATTTAAGAAATATATTTGAATAGATCAACTTGAATATTATTGGAAGAAACAGGTTGGTAAAGATAAATCACCAGAGTTAGTTAAAAAAAAATCTTAACAATAACAGCTATTCTGGATGCCAGCTCATGCCTGTAATTCTGCCTACAGGAGGTTGAGGATTGGGTTTGGTAGAAAAGACTCCATCTCCAATTAAACAGCCAAACTGAAAGTGTGGCTTAAATGGTAGAGTGCAAATAACTAAAAAGAACAGCAACAGGCTTACTGAAGCTGGGCTGGTGGCTCATGCCTGTAATCCTAGATGCTCAGGTTGCTGAGATCTGAGGATTGCAGTTCAAAGCCAGGCCCAGTAAAAAAGTCTGTGAGACTCTTATCTCCAATTAACTACAGAAAACTGGAAGTGGAGCTGTAACTCAAAAGTGGTAAAATAGCTTAGGGACAGTGCTCAGGCCCATTGAGTTCAAGCCCCACAACTGACAAAACAAAACAAAATACCCTCCCCTTCCACAAACCCCACAAAAACCTACTGAAATATGAAAACATAAAGATTGAGAAAGAGACCCAATAATTGTATGACCTATTGTCCAAGAATAGGATTGTTATGTCTAGATTGTGCTTTCTGGACATCCAGAAACTACGTCACCTACATCAACTAAGTAAAAAATCAAAGAGGAGACATTGAGGTGATTGAAAGCTCAAATAGAAGCCTTGAACTAAATGATGGGATCATTGACAACCAACTATCCCACACAAAACACATTTTAACAGTTGGAATGATTTCTTTGGCCATTCTGAGTTCTGTCCTTTCCTGTCCCTTTCCACAGTTCATACACCCAGTTGTTCAAAGGTTGCAGCAACCTGAAAACAACTGCAGTTGAAAGGTGCCAGATGTTTGGAAATAAAAGCAAATAGGCCTTTGTTCCAGCCTTCCCAGGACTCACAGGCCAGCCCTGGCTGTCATTCCCAAGTTATAATGAGATTCAATCCTTCAAGATCCAGACCTTTTCTTCATGTTGGAAGGTGAACTCTGCAGGACACCCACCTGCTAAAGCTCCCACTCACGTTCTTTCTTTCATGGCGCTCTGAGCTGGGGACCCATGGATCAGGCCCCAGGATCAGACTGTTCTTCCCAGGGTTAGGGCTGGCAAACATTAATCTCCTGTCCTCAACAAAGAAAGAGTAAGAGAAAGATAAAGGCTAGGGTCTTCCCAAACAATAACCGTTTCTGTATTATCCACAAATCTAAATTTCAAATAACCTCATAGATTGGTTTTGAATTTGTAATTTTCGTCATTCAAATTAATAAACATTTACACACCGTATTCACCCATTTTCTGTGGTCCATCATTCACCTACCACAGGGTAGGTGAATTACAAAGAAAGGAAGTTTTCCTGGAGGTATATCTGAAGCCAAATAGATTGTTATTAGCAATGTAATATAAAGAATGTTGGAACCACTGGCTAGAAACTTGGGCAACAAATATCAGACCCTTCTTCATTGCAGTAACAGGCAACATTTAAAATCTCCCCTGGTATCTTCATTCAGAGTTACTTTCATGATTGCCTTTGTATGTCCTGTGGCATAGTTGGTCTTAAGACACAGAGGTGATCCTGGCTTATTTGGGGTTGGCACCCAATGAGGCTTTCAAAGTAGAAGGTGTGGAGTCACATCAGAGAAGTTAGAAGCCACAGCAGGAGCTCTTCTCTGGACCAGGAAGAACAACCTACCATATTATGGAAAGGACCACAATAGAATGAGCATGGTCTCTGAAGGCTGAAGATGGCACCTCAGTTGGCAATCAGGAAGGACCTGGGGGCCACAGACCTATCATGAGCCTTGCTGAATTCTGCCTAGAGCCTGAATGAACTTGAAAGCAGTTTCTACCCAGAAGCTTCCTGGCTAGTCACTTGATGTTAGCCCATTGAGACCCTAATGTTTTTAGCTCAGACTGCACTGTGAGTCTTGTAATAAGGTGCCAGACTTCTGACTGAGAGAACTGAGAGGTAACACACTTGTATTGTTTTCCTTTGCTCAATTTGTGACAATTTGTTAAAGAGCAGAAGATGAAGACAATTCCTTATGCCAAAATAAATTCCATATGGAACAATGATGAATAGATATGATTGCAAAAAGTCCAATATTTTATGTTAAAATTATCATAAAATATAAACCAACTAGAAAAATGTGGGTAGCATGTATAAGAGCCAATTATTCCAGTATTTTAAAAATGTACTCAAAATCAGTCATCAATTTTAAATGCTTAACCTTACCTCTAATAAAATAATAAAATTAATTAATAATATAATAAAATTAAAAATATATGAGTATTTCATTTAACTTTTATCAGTAAACATCAAAAGGTTTCTCTTGGGTGGGAATAACAGGCACTTATGTGTAATTTTTATGATGTAAATAATTGTGTCCTTTAAAGAGCAACTTGACAGTATCTATCACAATTTAAAATGCACAAACCTTAGCAACCCTACTTTTCCAAATTTATCCTAAAGATAACTCATAAATATGTACAAAATGGCACGGCCATTGTTACATATCCAGAACTTCCAGTGCTGAATATGCTTCAAAACTTAAAACTGCTTGGATTTTAGAAAGATAATATTGATGCAGACAATACAGTGTGTTTTGTAACAACTCTAGTGGGAGTTGGGATAACAACCTATAATCAAACCCAGTTATATGTCAGCAAAAAAGATACATGAATTTACATTAAGTGGTATAAATAAAGACTATAAATAGCCTCATAGCAGCTCAGCTATAGTTTAGCTGCTGGATGAATGTGCCAAACTGTTGAAAAGACTCAGTTTTCTAAGCTGTTTGGGCTTTGGAATTGCAGATAAGGGATTTTAGACTTGTAGAAGAGCATTTATTACAGCCTCCCCCCCCCACCCCGGAACAGCGAAAGAGTAGAGAAATTTAAGCATCTTTATCCAGCCTCTAGGGTTCTGGTAAAGAATGATGTCATAGCTATAAAATATATTAAAAGTAGTACTAGCATTATAAAAAAGAGTGACTTTCAAAAAGATGGTGGATTAGGTCAATAAAACTAGATACAGTATTGTGAAATGTATATTTTTGTCTTTATGTGCAACACACCCACAATCACTCATAATTCAGAAGCAGGAAGAATCTATATATTGAAAAAATAAACTGAGTTTTGTGATGGTGACAGTGGGGAAATGAACTAAACCAAGAGAAGCGCTAAGCAGTCTTTCCACTCTATTCTGGTACTGAAGTTGTGCTTTATATAGTTCATTGTATTTTTATTATACACGTATTACTCAGAAAAAAATCTCTAGACTTTTATATAGTTAGTTCAGGTTGGGTTCTCTGGAGCTCCGACACTAGCGTTCACCTTTCGCATGAAGGGTGTGTGGGAAGATGGCCCCCGAGAGCAGAGAGACAAAGAAATGGAAATCTTTTGCAGAGGTTCAGTTTTAAGTGTGGGCAGCTGAGCTGGATGACCTGGTTGGTATGATAAAATTGTAGATAATTGTGATAGTACCTATAATTCCTTATCAAGATCTAGATTATATTCTGCTTGGGCTTTTAAAACAAAGACATCAAGGGGAGGGGGGAAACCCCAAAACCATTTGCACCTCTAACTGCTCAGTGAAAAAGAGAAATGAGAAGAGATGAGAAATTAGAATGTGACCTCGGAATGACAGTGTCTCTATTTTCATATTCAGGATGAAAGGGAAACCAACTGGAATAATGACACGTTTTTAGTATGAAGCCCCAAACAAAGCTGAACACAAACTTCTAACAGCTCTGGCCTCTGGGTGGAAGATGAGCACCTTGGGGGAAGCTTCGTGGCACAGGAAAGCCTCCAGGACAGGTTTGTAGTTCTGGCCGCTGTGGCGCCTCTTGGCCAGCAGAGGTCACCCTTGCCCTGCAGCTTCAGTGCCAAAGTTGGCAATAAGCTCCAGGAGCTGGACCAGTTTGATGGCCAGCCCCTGGGCTCAGGGGAGGAGAGGATCTGAGTCAGGTGTAGGTGGAAAGAAACTCCCCGTTGGAAACTGTGGTCGCGGATGCTTCTGTGCGTGGTTTCTTTGCCTGCCACGTTAGTGATGAGGAATGTGGTCTGGTCATGGGGGTGAGGTGAGCCTGGTGACTATAACCCTTTGCTCAGCTAGTCCTTCTACCCGGCCCAGCCCAGGGGATCTTAGGGAACTGAGTCAAGTGTCTTCAGGGACCTGAGTGTGGCCACCCCACAGATCCCAGCAACCACCCAGGCGTTGTGAATGAGAGCCCCCTGGTCTCCCCACAGAGTGCTCCTGACCTGTGAATGTCAGGGGTGCCAAATCCACTTCCATGTAAACTCCCAACTCCTATTCTGCCCGCTAATTTGATGGTCGATCCTCTTATAGGAGAGGGGGCTCCTATAAGAACATTCTCTCTTCCCCATTTTCTCTGCCTGTGTATGCTAGCCCTCTCAGATAGGTAGGCCCCCAGCAGCGTCTTGTAGCGTGGGTAGTTTGTTATTGCAATAGGTTATTATTGTACATAG